TTTACGCTAAGTGTTGAAGCTGGATAGGGAATGTACTCAGATTCACTATTCTACTCTACTTTCAGAAATCGTTGATTTTTTTTCCCTAATGATAAATTGAAACAATGTCCACTATGCTGAGGCACGCCTTTAATCGTAGAACTGAAGAGGCAGGTGGATCTCTGTTAAGTGTGAAGCCAGCCAGGTCTACGTAGGGAGTTCCAGACCAGCCAGGGCTGAACAGTGAGGTCCCTATCTCAGAGATAAATAAATAAATAAGAAAATAAAACTAACAGTATTGTGTTCTCCATAGCTATTATGCTTATTAGTTTTTGGATTTTTTTAATTAAATAAATGTATTTATTTACTGTAGATAAGAGCTCTATTTGCACCGGGCAGTGGTGGTGCACACCTTTAATCCCAGCACTTAGGAGGCAGAGGCAGGTGGATTTCTGAGTTCGAGGTCAGCCTGGTCTACAGAGTGAGTTCCAGGACAGCCTGGGCTATAAAGAGAAACCCTGCCTCAAAACCCCCCCCCCCCAAAAAAAAAAAAAGAGCTCTATTTGCATGTCTGACTGCATGCCATCAGACCCCATTACAGAAGGTTGTGAGCCACCATGTGGGTGCTAGGAATTGAACTCAGGTCCTCTGGAAAAGTAGCCAGTGCTCTTAACCGCTGAGCCATCTCTCTAGGCCAAAACCTTTATTATTTTTCATTTTCACTTATGTACCCTGGAGCGTTAGCAAGGCTCACGGCTCATTTTTGTTGGCCATTCTCCAGTATCCCAACCCTGAGTCTTCTGCCTACAATACAAGCTCCCTGTTAACCTGGTCTGATTAGAGGGGGTATAGCTTATAAGCAGAAAGCAGAATATCATGCACAAAAGATTGGATCCAACTCTTAGTATTACTTAAAAAAAAATTAATCAAAAACTAGTCATGTCAAATCATTCCCTGGCTTTAATAACCTTAATCTACTACAGGAACGAAATCACTGATTTGTAACATAGCTGTTTACTTTAAATACAAACAAACAGAACAAAAACAGAGTTTCATTAAATTGTGTAGCTGGCCGTGAACTAGCAACTTTCTTGCTTCTACCACCTAAGTGCCAGGATTACAGATGGGAGGTACTTCAGGCCTTATGCTTTAAAAAGGTCCCTCCCATCTCCTTAGCCTCCACTCAGCTCACTCTCCCATTCATTTTCTGGACAGCCTTTCCAGTTCTCCTCAGAGAAGTCATACTCCACCTTTCCACAGCCCTTTAGCACATGCTGTCCCTCCTACCTACATCTCTCCCTCTCCCTCTCCCTCCAGCCATCTTTCAATCTCTACCATTTCATCTTAGATCAGCCCTACCCTGAGGCTAGATAACTCTTTCCAGTCCACAGGCTCAGTCCTGGACTTCTTCACAGGGCTTAGCAAAGGGAGAATATTAAAATTTTGTCATTTTTCCTCACCATTGTATCCCTCATACTTAGTTTGTCAAAGATAAAGCAAATGACTAGCAAGCACTCACTGAGCAAATGAATGACTGAATGAACTCACTGACTACTCCACGAAGAGCCCTGCCTCCCAGTGATTGACAACCCCATCCTGCCCTCACCAGTCGTCACCCACGTTGAAGGCATTAAGGCTCTTGGTGAAACCCTGCATATTGGTGGGGCTGACTCTCTGCAGGAAGTCGATGTAGTCCTCAGAGTGGAAGCGGCACATATCATGCTGGGAGGCCTGGTAAGGCTTGAAAACCTGGGGGTGGTGACAAAGGGGAAGGTGTTACCAGAGTACTGCCTAAGTACTAGCTCCATTTCTATATTGCCCTAATCTTGTCCTTGAAGGCAGGATGCCTATAGGGCAGAAGTTCCTCAGATGAGCTAGCCAAAACAGGATCAGCCCCAGAAGGGTGGCAGTGGGTGACCAACTAGACAAGACCTTACTTAATTATAATACCATTTAAACACTGAATGACATTCCCAACACCACAATGGATAATGATTGCCATGGAAAGAAGTGGAGAGAAAGGGGTTGGTTTCTGAATTCCCAGAAATGTTCTGCTCAATCACAGATAAAAAAAAAAAGAATATGGCTTTTCCTTATTATCAGTCTCTTTCTCTCCCCTCATTTATTACTCTGTATCTACAAATACTTTTCTAAGTAAAAAGTTTTATTACTTTATTTATTCTTTGAATGTGTGTGTGTGTGTGTGTGTGTGTGTGTGTGTGTGTGTGTGTGTGTGTAGGGGAGGTGAAGTCAGGGTGTCAGTTCTTTCCTTTCATCACTGGTGTTCAGAGTTCAGCTTGGGTCATCATCAGGCCTGGAGGCAGGCCCTTCACCCGCTTGATAGCTATAACCTGTTGATCTGTGTGAGTTGAGATGCTATCTCATGAGAACAAAAGTCCCTTTCACTGCCCCTCTGACACATGGCCTTGTTACTGGCTCCACACAATGCCAGGAAAAAAAAAAAAAAGACTCAGTTTGGAAGTTTGGACAAAAAACCTGGCAACAGATCAGGCAGTGCTATGCCAGTTACCAGGCTGAAACCACTCAGAGTAATCCTAGCCCTGGACACTGTCCAAAGCAATCTTCCTACCCCCTATTCCTCGTTAATCTGCAGCAACTCGATCAGTGAAGGAGAGGGTACCTGCTAGGCAAGCTACTTTTATCAAGACCCCTGAAGATCACTTCAACTCCCTCCTCCCTTCGGCCCAGTCTCTTCTACCTTCTCAGCCTTGGCTCCCGGGCTACTTGCCCTGTTCCTAGTTCCTGTCCTCCCAGGCCTGGTTCCTCCCACACTTATCTCCTCTCCTAAACTCAGATTCTGCTCCAGTCTCTGGGTTTTTCACTGTGGGGTAAAATATGTGAGCTATATGACAACCTAACTGAAACCCAAAGTCCTGAACCCAAGATGTACTAGCTTTGCTGGAGGGAAAGGTGGGAGTTTAAACAATGCTTTGAAAATTAGGGGGGGAAAAAAAACCCAAAAAACCACTTTTGTTCCTCTCTTAGGAAATGCATAAAAGAACACACAGACAATCCCAGGGGATTCAAAGACCTGCACTAAGATCACCTCAGTCTTTTCTACTCCCAAACCTCTGCCTGTGCCTCAACATACTGATTACATGTTGACTATCTTCATGGTGCACAAGGGTCGGGTTTTCTACTTTCCCATTTCACAGCTAGAAACTACAAGCTAGGTAAAAACAGTACCTGCATAACTGAACTGAACCATAAAGACAGATACATTCTATGTTAAAAAGCAAATCCCCAGGACATCTTCTCTACATACGTACATCACAAAGGGTGCAGACTTGTCCCCAGGAGTTGTTCTAGCTCCTAACAGGTAAATGGGCAGAGGAGAAGGAGCAGGAATTATGGGAAAAATATACTGCCAACCCTCCTCCTCAATCCTGCACCACTATCCACCTTACAATGCAGAGGGGCTAGAGGTGGATTGTGGTGGCAGAACGCTCACCTCACATGTGTGACGTTCTGGATTCGACCCACCAACACGAAAATAAAATAAAATAAAATAAAATAAAATAAAATAAAATGATTTGGTGAAGGAACATACCTGTTTTCAAAGTGTCCCCTAACGCTAGGCCAAAGGCTGGTCTGCCCTCAAGTTAAAAGGGAGTCCCACCTAAGGTCAAAAATGTATCTCCCATTAAGTCGGGGATGTCACTATCACCACCACCACTGCCCAGCACCCAGGGAATGTTTCCGGTGTCTTCTATCCTGCTCCCCTCTCCTCTAGAGGTAGGTTGCACCTGGTAAGTCCAGCCCACCTAGCCTAAGGCCGCAGCTCGCTCCCAGGCCCAAACCCCTACAGAAGTGCCAAGACTCACGATCATCTTCTTATAGAGACCATAATGCAGGACTAGGCTATGAGTCAATGCCAGGCGATGGGGTTTCATCGGGTGTCCAGCCCCTGAGGGTGGGAAGGAAAGAGTTGGTCAGTCCCTACTCCTAGAGTTGCAGCCCTTGCCGCAGAACCTCTTCTCCCGCACAACCCTGAGCCCTACCGTAGTGAAAGTTGCCCACATCGGGGTCGTAGAAATACGCCACGGTCTTGGCCATGGTGCTGGGGGGACCAGGCCCCGAGCCTCAGCAGCCCGCCCGCCGCCGGACGCCAGTCCCACCCCCGCCGTGCGTGCTGCGCAAGCACGCACGCAGCCTACCACTGCAGAACAGAAGACCTCGGCCCCGCCTCCCAAGGCTACGCTTAGGCCACGCCCCCTTTGGGAGTTCCGCCCCTCACTTTGCTGTCCTGGCCCAGATTCCTAGACTTGAGACTCAGAACCTGGACGGGGACCCGCAGCATCATTCATAAAATACAAAAGCCGCTTCTTTCGGGGCGAGGGTCATATCCTTGGGAAACCGAGCCATTCTGTCCAGCTTCTAGCCTCAAACGGGTCTTGGGGTCGTGGTTCCTCTGTAGGAACCTCGGAAGATCTGGTCACCCTGCCCTTCTCAGGTGCAGAAAGCCAAATTTCCCCCAGTGAGCCAAGAAGATTGCTGGTTTTCCCACCCGTCTGGGTAATCTGAGGGCAGGACCTGTGCCAGACGTGAGGGCTAGACTGGTGACCAAAGCCTCTCCTGACCTCCCGACCCTCGACGAGAACTCAGACTCGCGCTGCACATTCCCTCCGCGGGGAGGAGGGGCGGCGCAGTCACGCGCACATCTCACTTGCGTTCACACACGCGTAAGGCTCACGCACTCCGCCCCGCACACCTGTGCTCCGCCCCTTGGTCCCGGCCCCGCAACGCGAGTAGGCATTTGGGAACCCAGGACGGTTTCGGAGGCGCCCCCCTCCCCATCCCTTCCATTTCCCTGGCCGGAGTGATCTGGAGCCTGTCGCGGTTCCCGACCGGCCCGCATCCTTCCCTCCCCCCGTCTGCCGCGGTACCGGTATCCGCAGCCACCAGCCCGGAGCCGGTGAGGCGGCAAAGGGGGGAGGGGGAGGAGGCAAGGGATGAGCTCCGGGAGGGCGTCGGGGGCCCTGAGCCGGACGAGGACACCCCTGGAGCCGGGACCCGAGCCGGAGCCGGAGCCGGAGACAGAACCAAACCACCGGTACCGGGTGGGCCAGATGGTCGGGATGGGAGGAACCGAAAAAGAAGGGACCAGGGAATGCAAGGAGGGGAGGGGGCTGCATGATGCCTAGTTCAGGCCGGTGTAGAAGAAGTGTCAACACTGACTCAAGCGAGATGTCTGGGCTCACTGCCTAAGAATTTTGCCCCATCTCGTGCTGCAGTGTCCTTGGGAGGGACTGGGGCGCGGAATGAGCTGTAAAAGATAGCGGTCTGGGTATCAGAGAAGTGAGACTGGGTCATGGCAGAGGGCCTGGGTAGCTGCCATCTGGCCTCCAGCATTTGGAGATCTTGGCCGACCAGCACCCTGAGTCCGGACAGCTCCTTGGTTGGGTAGGGGGTGGGGCGGGCCTCCTATTGCGGATCCTAAGATGCCTTCCTACTCTGCCGGGTCCCTAGCTGCAGCCCACTAAACCCAGGAGGCGCCCTGGCCCGCGCTCGCCCCCCAGGGCCTCATGTCGGAACCACAGCCTGGCCTGGAGCCGCCCCAACATGGGCTGTACATGCTCTTCCTGCTTGTGCTGGTCTTCTTCCTCATGGGCCTTGTAGGCTTCATGATCTGCCACGTGCTCAAGAAGAAAGGCTACCGCTGCCGCACATCTAGGGGCTCAGAGCCTGATGATGCCCAGCTCCAGCCCCGTGAGTGAGGAGCCTAGAGGTCCGATTAAGTCTCCCTTACCCTTCTTCCCAAACTTTTTTCTGCCTCCCTGGCTGACAGACCCAGCCCAAATCCTGATGACGTCCAAAAGACAGCTTATTTTTTGAGTCTGCATGTAGAGTGGCACCACCCTGAAATCGAGGCTAGAGAAGGGGGTCCACTCATAGTAGCCTTGGGAACCCATTTCTTCTCTTACATTTTCTGGCCCAATGCATGAAGGCACATAGGTAAAGGGATATGTCTTGAGCTATCACCCATGGGGCCATCAGGTCATGCTCCCCCAAAGCTGACTCATTTCCCGCTTCCTTGCCAACCTCTTTCATCCTCCAGCTGAAGACGATGACGTGAATGAGGACACAGTAGAGCGGATTGTTCGCTGCATCATCCAAAATGAAGGTGAGTATAGGCCAACAGCTCACTCCTTCCTAAACTGACTTTCTCTTGCCCTGACCTCTACCTCCACTGACTCCCTCTTCTCCCTCTCATCAGCCAATGCTGAGGCCTTGAAGGAGATGCTAGGGGACAGTGAAGGAGAAGGGACGGTGCAGCTCTCCAGGTGAGCTGGAGACAAGGGCCAGCATGACTTAGCTTACCTTGGAGTACGGCCTCCTCTAATACAGTCTTCCCAAGTCCCGGGAAGTTTGGTAGTGTTAGAGGGGTGAGGTGGACAACGCTCCCTGACCTATGAAAGAAGTTTTGTAGGAATCCTTTATCCTCCAGTGTCTAGACACCATCCAGCCAACATTCACCTCTGGTGTCACTTCCTCTGGTTAAGCATTGCTCTCTTTAGTAAACAGAGTGGAAAGGAAGAACACATGACCGACCACTCCTGGTTTAACAGTGAATTTATTAAAGACAAAGGGATGTTGGAACCTGGGGAAGGTGGGGCTTGATGAGGTTTAAAGAGCATATTGAAAGAACAGGAGGAAAGAGCAGGAAGGGAATTGACACTATTGTTTCTGCTCCCTTCCCTTCTGTGGTCCAGTGTGGATGCCACCTCCAGCCTGCAGGACGGGGCCCCCTCCCATCATCACACCGTGCACCTTGGCTCTGCAGCTCCTTGCATCCACTGCAGCCGCAGCAAGAGGCCCCCACTTGTCCGTCAGGGTCGCTCTAAGGAAGGAAAAGGCCGCCCCAGACCTGGAGAGACCACTGTATTCTCAGTGGGCAGGTGGGGATATAGTGGTCCAAGAAAAAGGAGGTTAAATTGGGGCCCCAATAATCCTGTCCCCCAAAAGTTGGGGCCCAATTCTTTCTTCTGAAGAACTGGGCAATTACAGCAGGGGTCAGGCTGAAGTGTCCCACAGTCTCAGGCAGCTTCCCTACCCCAGGTCAAACCCAGGGAGGGAGGTTTAGGGAGCCTCTGAGCTGTAGGCCTGAGTTGCAACGTTCTCTTCCTACTCAGATTCCGAGTGACACACATTGAGAAGCGCTATGGCCTACATGAACATCGTGATGGTTCCCCTACAGACAGAAGCTGGGGTTCTGGTGGAGGGCAGGAACCAGGGGGTAGTCAGGTGGCTGGAGGAGGGCAGCCTAGGACAGGGACGGCTGCCGTTGAGAGGCTGCTCCCCGAGCCGCCACCCTCCCAAGCCGTAGCCACCCACCCAGTACAGAATGGAAGGCTCAAGGATGCCAGCCTAGTCCCTTGTACACTTGAGGGGACCCCTGGAACCTCTGTAGAACTGAACTTGGGCCCTAGAGGGAGAGGCCCAAGCCAAGGGCTGCCTAGTCAAGAACCAAATGGACAGCCAACCAAACTGGACACCTCAGGTCAACAGGTATGAAGACATGGCCAGGGCTGCACTGGGTAGTGGTGGACACATCTTACTGTCCATACTCTGGGCAACATGGATATGATCCACCTCCTGTTCCCACTGAATACCTCCCCTTCTCTCAGGAGTCTCAACCACCAGAAGCAGGGGGTATGTGAGACAAGTCTCCCTGAACTCAAGATCAGGTAATCTCACCCTCCCACCCTCTCTCTAAACTACTCAATCCCATCAACTCCTCGAACCCTCGGAATGAACTTTAAGCTTAGTGTGTAGGGAGTGGGCATAGATGTCCTCCAGAAGTTAGATACAGTGCCTGGAGAACAGAACTTGACTAGGAAGCAACACTGTTTCCCTTCCTTTCTTCCAAGCCACAGTCTTCACTGTGCTGATGGATTACCAGCAGGCATTCCCAGGGGATGGATAGCCAGGAAGGCTCTCCCCTCCACTGGACAGCTCTGCCCCTCAGTTGAGGGACCAGCTCTACTTCCATCTGGAGTTACATGGTCCTGGGCTGAGAGACCTCAGGAGGAGCCCCTCCCAATTCCCAGCCCCTCATTCTTTTTCCTTTCCCCACCTGCCAACAGGTTGCCTGGCCTCCCTTCCCCAAAACCTCGCTCTACATGCTAGAGCGTGGCAGCTGGGACCAGGCCCTACCCTCAGTGGGCCCCTAAAGCAATAGTACCTTAGGCTCCCTGCCGTCTTGGCACAAGAGGCCCAGGCCCTGGCTTGGACATCATACCCTTTATTCACTGTCAATAAATCCGCTCAGACATTACAGTTGCTTTGTATCCTGGCTCCAGCTCCTCTGACTTCCAAGATCTGCTCCTCTCCTGGCTCCAGGCCTAGTGACCCTGGCATTCAGGGTGGGGTTGACCACAGAGGCAGGGTGATGACAGGTGAGCCAGAGCCAAGCAAGGCTTTGGGAGGTGGGTTCCAGCCCCAGAGATTTTGTGGTATTTTACCACCTTAGATATGGGGTGATGGCAAGAAGTCAAAGGGGTACTTCCAGAAATGACAGGAGAACAATGGGGGAAGGCATGGGTTCAAATCCCAGAAATGGGAACAGGGTAAGTTTCTACCCCTGGAGGTGAGAATGGACATCAGGAAAGACTGCAGCTTTTGCCTATGTCGCTCCAGACCATTGAGGGAGTGGTTTCTGTCAGCATGGAGACAGGGGCAGCAGCATCACTGGAGGGCAGTGAGGCCTGGCCTTCAAGTGAGAGGATCGGGATGTCCAGGATCCGGGGCTTTGGCTGGTGGGGGAGGTGGTGGACGCATCTGCAGGGGACATGCATAATTAGTGCTCCAGAGTCTGTCTTAGGAATATCTCTGACTTCAGCCCAGCAAACAAAATAAGACCATAGGAATGACCCTTTGGTACCATCTCCTCCAAGTCAGGGCACCTTACCGGCCTGAGTCGAGGCACCATGAAGTCTAGGGGTCCAGGGCAGTCTAGGACTTTGTCTAGAAATAGAAACCAAAAGTCAATTCTCAAGCTTTGTTCAGCTCCATACTGCATCTCCAGCACTTAGGGTAGTGATACTTTATAAATACTTGTTGACTTAGCAAAAAAAAATCACCAGCCTGAGCTATAAAATCCATTAGTCCATCCATTCTCAACAAATACTTAATGCACAATTGCTTTGTACAAAGTACCAAAGAAACAAAGCTTCTCCCTCAAAATGCCTATTGAGAATCCCATAATATCACACACACACACACACACACACACACAGAGAGAGAGAGAGAGAGACAGAGACAGAGACAGAGAGACAGAGAGAGACAGAGAGAGACAGAGAAACAGAGAGTGTGAGTTGGGTGGTGTTGGTGCATGCCTTTAATCCCAGCACTTGGGAAGCAGAGGCAGACGGATTTCTGAGTTCGAGGCCAGCCTGGCCTACAGAGTGAGTTCTAGGACAGCCAGGGCTACATAGAGAAACCCTGACTCGAAAAACCAAAAGAGAGAGAGAGACAGAGAGACAGAGAAAGAGGGAATGCCCAAGTACTAAATTATTCAAGTACAACAGGAATGCTAGAAGAGATGGTAGTGCCCCTGGAGCCAGGGAAGGTGACTGAGAAGGTGGGCATACTAGAATATTTTAGAAAGGCTAAGTATTTGATGGTGGAAAGTAGGAGGCTGGGGCTGCAGACATAAGTTAGTGGTAGATATGTGTGCCTAGCATGAACATGATCCTCATTTGATCCCCAGCACCCACAAAAAATAATCCAATAGGTAAGCATTGTAATAGATAAGAGAAAATAGTGAAAAGGTGAGTACTGTATTTCAGAATTGAAGGACACTAAGAGGAAAACATACACTTTAGGAAAATATAAGAATTCAGAGAGGAAAGACAGCAAATTTTTAAAATAATAATGATCTAAAACAGCCATGTTTACTGTATGCCAGCACAATGTTGTACACTCTTAGCAGATATCTTGGATAACTTTTCTTCCTTATGTATACAAGGGTTTTGCCAACATGTATGTCTATGCACCACATGCATGCCTGGTGCCCACTTGGGTCAGAAGAGAGGGTCCCATCCCTTGGGAGTAGAGTTACTGATGACTGTGAACTGCCACATGGGTGCCAGGAATCAAACACAGGTCCTCTGCAAGAGCAGCAAGTGCTCTTAACCACTGAGCCAACTCCCTAGCCCCTGATAACAATTCAATAAAGCAATGCCTTTTCTTTCACTTTATAAAGAATGTAAACCAAGCTAGGCTGGTGCCCATACTTCTAACCCCAACACGTTGAGGAGCCTGGGGCAGGAAGAATGCTAGTTCAAGGTTAGCCCTAGCTCCAAAGACTAAAGGACAATGACACAAAACATGGACGAAGGACCAGACAAGTGAAGCCTCCTACCTCATGTCATACAGCAGAAGGTGACAGAGGAGTATGAACCTGGCTCCAAATCCAAGCTCTCCTCCCCATGCATGTGCCATGGGCCTTACTGCAAGTACACACACAGGGGCAGGGGAAGGCAGAGCCCAAGCCTCTTGCGTACCACTGCTCCTGCTCCCCAGCCTCTGCTTCTGTCTACTCACCAGAAGGCAGAGCAGGTGCAGGAGATCCGTCCAAGGCACAGGTAGGTGCAGGAGGGGAAAAGCTGGGAGGAGAAGGGGATGGCAGCATCTGGAAACAGGGTAGGCATACAGTCATTTGTGGTCTGGGGGAGGACTTACAGTGTTTCTTCTCACCCCACTCTCGGTTTCTCTCCCATTTCTTCTCAATACCAAAAGCAGCCAAATGAGGGTTATAACTGATACATATTTCCAACAGCCGATATGCACTGCATAGTTATTATGTGTCAAGTATTCTGCTACCACTTCACATATACCAATCTATTCAACCCTCACCACCACCCTGAGAGCTATGTCTTTTGAGGGCTACAGGAGAAGTGAGATTCAGTTGGAGCCATGCATCCGAATCATGGTCACTTAGTGGCAGAGTACTGACTAGAACTGTGGTGTTCTGACTCCCGTGTACAATCTCTACTGTGTCATGACAAGGCTCGGTGGTTAAGAGTGCTGGCTGCTCTTCCAGAGGTCCTGAGTTCAGTTCCTAGCACCCACATGGCAGCTCACAATATAATGCGGTGCAACGTCCTCTTCTGGTGTGCAGATAGACATGCAGACAAAGCACCCATATACATTTAATACACTAAAACTTCTTGTGTGCCACAGGGCTGAGGAGTGTGCCTTTATGATCTCTAGTCATGGCAGCGAGCCTGCTAAAGCAGCTATTACTGTTTTTATTTTACACATGCAGAAGGCAGCTCAGAGAAGCTGACCACTCAAGCTCATGCTATAACAATTTGTACTCAGGCCTATCTGGTCCTAAAGTTCCCAAGCTCCTATGAAGGGTGCCTCAGTTTCTCTTTTTTCTTCCCAACCAAAGCATACAGAGAGGCCTAAGCTACCATAAGAGGCAAACTTTTGGAGGAAACAAAGATTTAATGTTAATACCGAGCATTGTTGAGGTGAAAAGGTCAACCCAGAAGTACTGGGAACGGAGAGAAAATGAAGTTTTACCTGTTCAGGGTCAGAGAGTTCAGATGGCCCCGGGGGGCCAAGCAATTCCTCTACCAAGAGAGATGGGAAGACTCCAACATGCCCCCCAAATTCTCCCCTCCAGAAGCCATCATCCACTCCATCTTGAGCCCTGGGCAACAGGCGGATGAGTGCCCCTTCAGGAAAGCTTAGCTCCTCTTCACTCTGTCCTGTGTAGCTGTACAGAGCACGTGCCAAGAATGCTACAGAACCCCAGAAGAGAGGATGAAGTAAGGGAGTGGGTCGTGGTATGCTAGTGCTGTGACACCCCATAACCATCCAGTAACCTGTATACCCATGGTCTCCGGATCCATACCGCCTTGCCTTACCTGTGGGCTCTGCTCCTGAGGGATTGTCACTGCCACGGTGGCTCTCAGGAAGGGAGAGATCCGGGAAGTTGAGATATCGCTCAGGGACAAAGCCTGCTTCACCATGCTGGTTCCGAGCCTGCTCACCCAGCAGTGTGAACAGGTTATCAGACTTGCTCAGCAGTCTACAACCTTGGCTCTTCTCTATTCAAGCATCTGGCATTGCCACACACAAGTCCCCCGTGTCCCCCAACCAGGGTCCCATACTCACCTTAACCCATTCATCAGCATCTCCTTCCTCTATGACCTCCAGCCACTCACCCTCTGTGATAGTCAGCTCATCCTCACGTCCTGCCTGAGCCCCACAAGGAAGGATTCAAGATTTGCCCCCTTCCCACCCCTGTTGCCAATCTGAGGTTTCCACACCCATTCACACCTGATAGCCAAATACTACATGTGCAGGGCAGGGGAGGGGTCTGGTAGCCAGGGCTGGTGGGGCAGGCTCCTCAAAGAGTTCCCCAGCCTCCTCACACTCGTCGAAGTCAGAAAGCTCAGCATCCTCAGCCTGGATCAGGGTAGAGGACAGATACTCAAGTACTGCATGGATCTCCCATACCCCTATCTAACTCTAACCGACACTGGGAATCCTCCCTCAAGACAGTATCCCTCAACCAATGATCATATATCATAACCAAAACCACCATAGGACAGGATGATACTAAATAACAGCAATTACAACTACGTGCTTAATCATACATACATACATACATACATACATACATACATACATATAACTTCACTTAAGCTTCTGCATAACCCAGCACTGTTTTGTATTAACTATATTATACTGTATAACGATATTAACCTCAC